GTTCTAAAGTATTGCTAATAACAAAACTTAAAAAACTCGCTTCTAAAGCACTGCTGATATAAATACATTCAACTAATTTACATTACCATTATAATAAATTGAGGTTATATCTCATACGTGTGCAAGCCAACGATTTTCATTCTGCAGATTCACTGAAGATTGCTATAGTTAAAAAAAAATCTAATTCAGAAAGCATGCCAGTATTAAGAAGCTGTACTTGGATTTATTAAATTGACGTATATAAATCAAATGCTTCTGTTTGCCTTCCTGTAATTTAGCATTTCTTGCTCATGCAATTCAATCGCACTACGGTGCTGACGTGTAAGTAATATTACTCCATTCAGCTACTGCATGATTTGCCAGATATCCAGGCGTCAGTTCTTCATACCTTTTTGTTTGCATCTGCAACATTTTACGTTAAGAACTTTACGGATAAATTACGTTCATTTTGTTAAACATTTCAAAATACAGAAATGATATAATTTCGGGATTATTAAAAAATATCAGCTAAATACTTCAAGGAATATTTTATAAGAATTTTCATTTAGTATTTTTAAATTAATTTAACAATTTATTTCAATTTTATTGATTATATTTTTTCGGGTAAAAGGTCTGTAAATTACCTGTTCTTCACCAGCCAGTAATCAGTTCCGTCTTCAGTACCATAACCAACAACTAAAACTGCGTGGTCAAGTTCCTGAGTGCTGCAGTAGGGTTCATCATATATGCCGCCTCTAAAGAATTGAATCGAAATGTAATCGGAATGAAATGTTATAAAATATTTACAAATATACACCGCTGGCCATTAAAATTGCTATACTAAGAAAATATCCAGTAGGAGAAATATATTTATTATAAACATACAAGTATAACGGGAGGAAAACATAATTAAATTTGCAGATGCTTTAAGATATAGAACCTACACTTTAATATATGAATTCTGCACGCTCTGTGTAACAACAACAGCTTTAAGTCGGCTGGACTTCAAATTGAACTGACCTTGGATGACAGATACAGGTACATCACTCCATACGACTTCATTTTTTTGACTGACAGTTCCACGCCAACCTCTCGGCAGCTAAGGACCAGATGTTTTGAATAGGTGCGAGATCAGGAGAACCTGCTAGCCAGGGCACAGACGAACACCCTCTGAATCGAGGAAGGTAAAGGCCTCTTAGAAAACGTGCGGTCGTTCCTTATCTTGTTGAAAAATAACGTCAAACAGGCCTCGAAGATAGTGCACAGTTACGAGCCCTAACAAGTTAGAAGTTTAAAGATGGCCACATGACTGACTATACGAACAAAAAGTGACTGTCCCAAATATCACGGCAACGTCGTAACGACGTTGCAAACTGGTCTGAGAGGTTGCAAAGTGGTCGTGGTAACTTTAACGACGTCTTTACAACGTTGCGAAGACGCAAAATATTTGCCGTTGCATCTTGGCAATTTGTCGACGTCGCTGAAACGTATGACCGCTTTTAGACGTTGTCGTTTTAGCATCTCTTTCATAGTTCATCAGCGTTACTTTTAGAATGAAAAGAGACTAAATCTGTCCTTTCGTAAGGTAACAACATAATTAGTATTTTACCTGAACTCAAGTATAAAGTTATTCGCGTTTCGTAGTAAAGAATATAACCATTAACTTTTATATCTCCGAGATATGCAAATGAAAGACTGTATAAAGTAGTTATTAAATGTGATCAAAAAAATTTCATACAAAAATATACCTAAATCTAATAAACAAAAACACTTCCCATATTCAGATCTAAAATGAAGTGATGCTGATGTTTCTTAAGAGCATTTCTTTCGAACATATGTAAACGAATTTACTTACTATTAGTTTCTACATTTTAGAATAGTGGTAGATTATAGTGATCATTTCATGCACTTTTTATAATCAGTAACGTTTCTTTTGATACTGTATAGAAATAATTTAGATAATATAGTATACGATAGCAAGCTAAGTACGTTAAAGTAAGCTCTTCGTTTAATAGCACAAGATGAAACTTTTTGTTTTATTATGAATTTCTTTGTTATCACATGCACATAAAATGTAAGCGAATAAAATAGAATATGCTTAACTTTAATAAAAAATAAAACCTAATTTCCAACATTCATTATTGAGATAATCTAATAGACATACATAACAGCAATATTAAAAAAAAAAAAAAAAAAAAAAAAAAAAAAAAAACCGCGAATTACACAGTGTTTGGAAGAATAGCTACCAAACAACAAATAATAAAACTGTTTTTACAATCAATAAAAAAATATTTAGTATTTTTTTTTGATATTACACACTTACATACCGCATAGTTATAGATTACAGTATTTCATAGTAATCCTAATGCTTCCTTAACACTATTTTTTGGATCATATGCGGAAAGTCTGAGAACCAACCTGTTCGTTTAATATGAGTGATATACGATATAGCACTTAGGACGTTATACCCGAATCCGTGTATCCAAATATTTGCACCGCTGGATCACTGAAGATTGGAGAACACCACCTTGTACGTTTAATCACCAGAAACATAAAACGCCAAAACAGAACACTATTTCACTGTGTGGACGATTTTATGTTCCTAATTTATCGTGACAGGGGTAATTTTCATTGTCTCTGAGATTTAACAGAAATAAATGTGATAATGCTGCTATAATCAGAAACACATAAAATCTAAAATAACGTTACTTAGAATTTAAGTTATTTAAACAATATAATTTAAAGTACTGAAAATAATTAAGGCTATTATTAATTATGCATATTTAGTCTAAAGAGAAAAAACTGTATTATCTTCTGGTTTTCAGGTAATGATTAAATATTTAAACTTTAGAAAAATACAAGGAATACAAAATTAAAGAAAAGAAAAATACATTTATTATTAAGCTTATTTTTCTGCATAAATCAATATGTAACACAAGGACGTCATAACGACGTTTTCACAACTGTTGCAAAAAGGTTGAATTCTGCGAACATTTAGGTGTCGTTAAGACGTCGTGATACGATGCTTTCACAACCAAAATATAACGTGAGAAAGACGCAATAACGACGTCTATTCAACATAAACCTTATCTGCAAAGTCGTAATAAACACGTCTTTTCAACGGTTGCAAAACAGTGGATATTCGCGGACATCTGGGCGTCTTAGAGACGACATATTGCAATGTTTCTGCAACGACATCCGCGATCAGTTTGCAACGTCGTTGCGACGTTGCCGTTCTACTTGAGGTGACGTATGCCCTATGGGCGCCCAATTCCATCACGCAGCTTCTGTGCCCATGCAAAAATCACGAATGCTAGCTGACACTGTTCGTTTCCTTTGATGACTCCACACATAGATACAAATATCATGATACTATATGCAGAAACAGAGTTCATCTGAAAAGAAGATGTGGTGCCACTCTTCAGTAACGTCGGTCATCACAAAACTATAGATGAGCTTGTCTCGGCTCAACATCAAGGGAAACCGCGGTGTTGATTATCATGCTGACAGTTCTTGGCATGACAGACACACTATTCGTGCAGAAACTTGCCGTTCTGCATTCAAGCAAAGTTCCTAACTTAGGGTACGTGACATAGTTGTAACAACCCACAAAGCAGAGATGACAATATGTTTGTCCCCCCCTGGCGTTAGTGGCCCGAGACCGCTGAGATCCTGCAGGACGTTCGCTATGATCCTCCTAGATACGTTGATTCCATTCATATTCTTCTGACATTCATGTAATCCTGGCCAACATATTGTCGCGAAATGACAAACCATAATCCTGATAGGTCACGATCCTGCTGCGATCGAATTCCGAAATATACTGGTACGAGTTCCTCCTTCTTACACGAGATTTAGCACAATCTTTATTCAAACAATGAACGTTCAAGATGCGATTTCCAAATTAAAGACCCGCCTTGCAGTTACTCCATTTGTATAAAATGCAGCTGACTTTACTCATACCTCCACAGTGGTCATGCACTAATCATTTATAATCATTTGCATGTCTGTTATTTGTCCGAATTATTTGTATAGTGCTTTTCATGCAAATTTGATGATTGTTACATGCCGCTTTTGTGGGGTTGGAATGCAGTTATGGCCAGCAGTTATTTAAATATTTTCAAAGAAAAAGTTTTTTTTTGTTGTTATTATTTATTTATCATTTTATTTAAAAGCATTTTAATGTCTCTTCTTTTATGTATCCTAATATACAACCCAGCCTTTAAAATAAATATATCGCAGAATAACTAAAATCCTTAAAATTGCACCAATAATGCTCTGAAAAGAAGATGTAAAATTTAAAAATTGATTTTTATTGATAGAATTTTATTGATAGATAGAATTTTTATTGATTGAATTGGGTACTGTTACACAAGTACTACATTTAGCAATTTTATAGTCATGAAGTATAACAGTCCAAAACTAAAGCCGCAATGCTTTCGAGGTGAAAATATGCAAAATTTACTGCCTAATTCTTGTAGCATATATTTATCTAAAAATTCATAAAGTAACATCTATAATACAAGAATTCTTTTCCGATTCGTAACTACATACGAATCATAATTTCCCGGAATACATGATTCCTAATAAAACTAAAATCAATTGAACGGTATTCCACTCAAATGTTATTCATTTTCTTCAAGATCACTAAAAATATTTAAATTTTCTTAATTAGTTTATATGCATAAAATTTGCCCTAAAATCAATCAATATATTTGATTGGGAATATTGTATATTGTTTTAAGCAACGCAACTAAAGTTAGCTTATTTTCACATTTAATGAAAACATGGAGATTTCGGCTTATATGGCCATAGATCACGACACTTGGGTTCCTGGTAGACTTGGGTACGAAGCTTTATCTTAGTATATCTAATTAAGCTCATTCATTAAGCTACATTGCTTTATCGTTTCAATAATGTTATACTTATTATAGCACTATTGAAATGATAGGCAAAGTAGAGAGCAAGTCAAGTCCTTAGGAAGCAAAACGATAAGAAATATTAAATGTAAAATTTTTAAGTCCATAGGTAGCAAATAATGAAATTCAAGACAATCCAGAAATGTATGGATGTCCGTGGCAATGGTTTTAAAAGTCGAAGCAATGGGAGATTGAAAAGTAGGCGTCAGTCACGAAAATCAAGACTAGAGTGATGAAACATCGAAAGAATTTGCGGTGAGTGCTTTTTAGTCACATTGTGTCAGAAGATAAATAATACTGTAAATTCTGATAATGTGAGTAATACTGTTAATTCTGAAAATCATGCTGGTGTTGTAAATCCCCAATCAGGAAACTCGCACCCGCATATAGACTTGCAACCCCCCTCCCTATTATGGTCAGGCCCAAAGTGGCACTAAATATTATGATTTCCTCAAGGAGGTTGCTATTATTTATTTATCTACCAGATTGCAAGTTCTTAGGCCGAGTCACCGGGGAGTTCTTGAAAGTGGAACCATCCACTCCAGATGACTCCAGTGAATTCTTTCTGCTAAACAAAATTGAGCACTACGTTGTTAACATAAAAAATAAAAAACCAGTTAAGGTCCTCATCAGAGGCCTTCCAATTGACGCAGATGTCAGCACCATTACAGAGGCATTGCGGGAATTAAACTTTAACATCAATAAAGTTGTACAACTTACGAAATATAGAACTAAGGCTTTAATGCCGCTCTTCCAAGTACAAATATTCCCAGATAAAAACCTAGAAGATATCTATAACATTAAACATCATATGTATTTCAATGTTAGTGTTGAAAAATATATTGCCAAAAATCAGGTTCCGCAATGTCACAATTGCCAGAAATGGCACCATTCATCCGAGAACTGTCATGTCGCACCTAGGTGTGTTAAATGTGCAGGCTTTCACAAAATTGGCAATTGTGACAAACCTGGGAAAAATGAAAATCTTGTTTGTGTTAACTGTCTTGGGCCACACGTGGCTTCTTATAGAGGGTGCCCTAGGTTCCCTACATACAAAAAAGTTAATAAATCTGTCAATATCAAGCCAGGAGTTAGCTACGCCCAGGCAATTAAAAATTCTACCAACCCAAGCAATGCCTCTGGTACAAGTGTCTCTGCGGATGTGGCTCAGGCAAAAATGCAAAGTTCTCAGAAAACTGGTATGCCTAGTAATGCAAATAAGAATAATAGTAATTATGAAAATACTAATACTCCTAAATTTATACCTGATACTGCCAACCATGTTAAAAAAAATAGTAATGGTACCAATGATATTTTGAATTAATGAATATAATGAAAGAAATTGAAACTATTTTTGGATGTAATATTAAGCAAAATTAATTAATGTGTACAAAAGTAAAATGCCCGAACTTAGAAAAGTGCGATACACATTCTGGATAAGATCCAGGTTCTGCACATTAATGCTAGAAGAAATTCACGGGCTAGTAAATAATGAGTGAATTATGACTTAATGATCTTATAATTGTAACATGGAACGCAAATGGATTATTCCACAAACTAGATGAACTTACGCATTTTTGTAAATGAGCACTTGTCCTGACATCTTTACTCCTACAGGAACACAAGCTTAGTCCACACACTACTGTCCAGATTGGCAATTACTGTATTTACCGACTCGACCGTGAGAGGGCAAACAGACATCCAGGAGGAGGACTTATTATCCTCGTCAAGTGCTCCATCACCCATCACCACACAACACTGCCACAGCTTTTAGGCCTCGAGGCCATAGCTATTACAGTCACGACACTCACTTCACACCCACTCACTGTTATCTCCGCCTATATACCAAGCAACAAAAGATCCCAAGTGAATATTGCGCAGGATTTTGATCCGCTATTCCAACTTAACAGAAAAACAATAATAGGCGGAGACTTCAATGCACACCACCAATAATAGGCGGAGACTTCAATGCACACCACCTTCAATGCACTTCAATGCACACCACTGCAATCGCTCAAACTACCTAGGCACTGTAATTCACCGTTTTGCCACTGAGGCAGGTATTACCATTGCACCTCCAGATACCCCAACACGCTACAACGGCAGATCAGCCAACGTACTGGATTTTTTCCTCCTAAAAGGCTGCCGCCACAGATCCATCCAAATCCTCACCGAGTTATCCTCTGACCATAATCCGGTCATGATACAGGTGGGGACCTCTTGTCTGTAGCACACCACACAAAAAGGCCTTCATTACTAACTGGGCAGGATATGCCAAAGCCTTAAACAACACCGCACTACACATTCCAACAGCCAGCACGGGTGAGGAGTTAGATGCATTGGTCCAAAAATTCACCACGGACTTAACAACAGCCCTGGATGCCAACAGCACGCCTGTCCCTCACAGGCAAAAAGCCACTAATCCTGAACTCAAGAAACTCATACAGGAGAGAAATGCTGCTCGCAAGGAGTGGCAAAGGTACAGGTTTCCTGCGGACAAAACTGTACTCAACCATCAGGTCAGGACTCGCACTCATCAACACACACAACGTGACTGGACCAACTATCTCACTTCCCTTTCAGCAGATCAAAGCTCTATCTGGAAGGCGACTGCTAAGCTTAAGAGATGCCACACCAATATTCCGCCCTTAAACGGCCAAAAGAATATTTGCCTGTTTGGGGATATACCAGCCCCACAAATGTAAACAAACTTCAAGTTTTGCAGAATGTAACACTCAGACAAATTACCAGCAGCCGTTGGTTTATTAGAAATACGGCTATCCACGAAGAGTTTGAAATACCAACTATTTTAAATTATTTTGCACTTCTTGCTGAAAAATTCTTTCACAATATTCCAAACGTAAATAACAGCTCTATACCTGTGCCACAATATGACTTCACAAATGATGTAAATAGTAAACGGCCGCTTGCGGTTTTAAGGTACCTTGTGTAATGCAATTTATAAATTATTATTAATTAAGCACTCTCCCTTTCTCTTTGTTTTGATTTGGGTCATCGCCTGATGCAATTATTGTATATAGTGTATATATCTCTCCTTTTGCATTTATGTATTTTCTTTTAATGTTTTAATATTTATTTATGTGAATGTTATTTAACCATGTAATGTATATATGTTGAGTGGTCATATGGACTCCGATTCAGCGTAGAATTAGGCAATTTCTTTTTCACCTATGCCAATGCCATGCACACTTATCTCCGCCAAAGGCCAACAGCCGCTGGAGTTGTTTCTTCAGGACTCAATCATCGGTTCTTTATGTTATGAACTCTATGTGCATTCGAATTTTTTCTCCAATTATTCGACTTTCAAAGATTCGAAAATCGTAAATTTCCTATGCCGGGATAACGTCGTAACGCGGGAACCCTTTTGCGATCAACTTATCGAGTTTGCCTGAGCCGAAGAGCACGAAGTTTGGTTGCTAGCGCCGGCTTAGCAGAATGTTATTGGTTAGGGGGAAAATGAAAAAAGAAATAGTAGCACAGTGATTGTATAGGCTTTGCAGGGAAGGGAGGAGTCTCTTTGTCAGTAGATGGCAGCCCATACGTAGTCCGCATGGGGGTAAGAAATGAAGGAGTGTCCAACCGGCACTAGAAGTGAAGCCCTGCTTCGAAGCTTCGGTCACCAGATGAGGTGTTCTTTGTTCACATTCAGAAGCACTAGCGTCTACATTCCAAAACGGCAGCCTATGAGAGAGGCGATTCTATTATTTCCATCGGGGAGTAGGGAAGATAGAGTGGTTTCTGAGGAACGCAACGGCAGTGGACGATGTTTGTTTACATTTGGAAGTTCAGAAAATTGCAAAGGTGCATTACCTTAGTTTCTACGGTTACTTACAGGAAAATATTCGGCAGTTTTTTCGGTTTGCTGATAGAGGGCAAATAGACAATTTACCTTTACGCGGATTTATATCCGCGTTTATCTATTTAAACTTCCGAAGATTTAAGATGAAGTGAATATATTTAACACTACAGATCGCAATCTTAAAACTTGTAAATTTTTAAAAAACAATACATCGATAATTAAAAATATTATTTATAGTTCGTTATTAAAAACTTTTTATGAATGCATAGTTATCATATAATTAACAATTGATTCATGAATTATGTCATTATTTATTATAATTAGTACAGAAGATATTTTTTACAGTAAAGTAACAACGAAAATATCCCGTATTTACTTTCTGCACAAGGAAGAGTGCATGCGCAAGACCTTCCCTTCTCCCCGATGAAAATAATAAAATCGCCTCTCTCGTAGGCTGCCGTTTTGGGATGTACACGATTAAAATTCAGAAGCTCGCTTGACAGTGTTCTGATAGTATTTCGACACACGACAGTTCCATACAAATCTAAAAGAGACACTTTCGCATGAAAGAAACATTCATAGTGTGATGGATAATAGCAATTTGTATAGTTTAGTGACATTTACGCAAAAATCACATTTTGGTATTTTTCGATACTAACAGCGATTTGATTATGAATTTGTTTTTATAAAATTTCTAAGCTGTTGAACTACAAAAATATAGATTTTAACAAAAATATTATGCTTAAAGAATGAAAAATATTTTACGGTACCTTTAAGATTGTATACGTCTTTCGATACCCTTGATAGAGTATTCGGTACTTTTATTTTATGTTTCAAACGCCGAAATGTTTTAAATAAAATAAAATTTTTTCACAATCATATATTATTGTAACATGTACCTTTAAAAATTTTTTAGAGGAGAGGCTTTACTGTTGCTCATTTTAAACTCATCGTTTTAATTTTATATATCTGAAAAATAATCACTTTGGGCTTACACGTTTTTACTATTTGGGTTAATTAAAAATAAAATCCTTATTTTACTCCTTTCAGAAATGTTCAGGAAAGTTAAGTACTATTTAAAGTATTTCGCTAATTTCTAATAATTCTCTAATTTAAAATGAACGAATAGAGCATTAATTATAATTGACGTACATTTTTCGATTAAAAGATGCCCTCAGAAGCCCAAAAATCATGTCATATGTAAGAAAGTATTTTAGGAAGAAGCTCTATAAATAGAAAAGAAATAATGCATAATTTTAATATTAAGTAATACAATAAACTTTGATCTTAATTTTTTGTACCTTAACCGAATTCAAATCGAATTACCTTAAATTTTTTTTTAATGTAATTAACGAAAACTGCGAAAAACATTTCATTCAAATTAGATATTCTGAGAAAACTGTTTGTGAAAAGTATGGCATTTAATTCCGTTCAG